CCCCAAAACCCCAAAACCCCAAAACCCCAAAACCCCAAAACCCCAAAACCCCTCTCTCTCTATAATGAAGGAATTTTGACGTTAATTACTATTTTAGTAATTGCTTGATTTGTTAAAATAAAATGTCTTTAACCAATCTAAAATAAACCGTCTAAGATCATCAATCTGTAAGTTCAAGAAATTATAAGTCTCAGAAAATACTTAGCACTGACTAAATATTATAGAAAGTCTAGCTAAAGCAGTATAATGATAAGCGAAAGACAAAGTATCAAATGAGGATAGTCTTCAAGGAACTTGATCTAGGTAATTTCTCTATTTATGACTTGCTAATGAGCATTTTACAACCTTTTGATAACTGGACTAAAACTGACAATAATTTTAGATAAAAATGGGAAGATTGATGCTGACATTTTTATCAAAGTTTGTAAAGACCATGAAATAGTAATTAGTGAGGCTGACTAGAACTATTTGAAAGCCAAGGTAGCCTACCTAAATAAAGTCAACTATGAGGAAGTGATTAAAGACCTGGTACTCTTGATAAATGAGAAGTACTCTGAACTTTAACATACTTCAGCAAATACAAATGAAATTTTGTAAGTATCATTTAAAGTACCACTAACTTAACTTGATTTACATTTTTTACTAATTTGATTCTAATGTTAAGCTACTGGGTCTTGAGGTCAAACAATCAGAAATTAGTCGATGGAATAAAGAATACAGAGCTTGCGCAGAACTATCTTAGGCTCTTTAAGTTTAGGAATAATAGAAATGCCATGAATCAACTCAGTAAAAGTCTAATGAACTTCAATACTCTTTAGCCTAGATAAGATAGACATGCCTTGCATCGTAATTCTTACTTATAAAAAGCATTATATAGACAATGACTCCAAAAATGAGAATAGGGACAGCTCTTCCAATTAAAATAACCATAATCACTCGTAGAATTCTCAACACCCTCTTCATCTTCACTTGATAAATCACTCATTTATGGCTAATTTTGGCCCAGACATGTAAAACACTATTCATAAAATTGTGGGTAGTTCCACGATTCACAATGCTACTAAAGCCTATGACTGGTCTAAGCAGATAAGTGCTATTTCCAAGAAGGTTAACATTCTTAAGAATATATAAAATAAAATGTATATCAAATAAGCCTAAGGCACTGAATAGATTCATTCTAAAAAAGAAAAGATGTAATATACTTTTCCCTCATTTAACTCCAAATTAGACGTAAATACATGAAAGAAAATGATGTGGATATAATGCATCTGAATGCAATCGATGGTGCATTTTTAGACTGTGATGAGGAAAGAGCAGGTACCATAACTAAGAAGGCTTTGCTAGAGAAGATAGCTGAGAATAATCTGCAGTTCCCAGCTGATTTCCTCTTCAATCTGATACAAGATATGCAAGAAGATAGTGATGATTCCTCAGAAAATGCCATGCTTAAATATGAAAGCTTGAAGCAGATAATTGAGATTTATAACAACGCACCGATTTTCTTAAAGTATCTAATACAAAATAGTATAAGCTTTTAGGGGTGATTCAAACAATTCTGATAATTTCAAACGGAACATGGACACTAATAAGGATCTATACGATGATTATCAAAGATTGGATAGACTTTTGAAGTATGTACATGTGAGAATAGAAGAGAAATTCAAGGATTTTAGACATGCTTTCAGATCATTTGACAAAAACTTTGATGGAGGTCTCAACTTTAAAGAATTTATCACTGGAATGGAAGGAATAGGAGTAAAGCTTAAAATATCTGATTACCGCCTGATATTTGAGGCCTTAGATTATGACCAGGAAGGGGAGATAGGCTTCTTTAAATTTTGTCTTTTGAATACAGATCGTAAATAAGATCTCATAAAGCTCGTAAACATATATACTCAATAATTATTATTTTTAGAAATAGCAGCATGATTAATTGTAGAAGGAGAAGGAAAAGTAAAGCTAGAAATCAACAGCTAGCCAAAAACCTCCAAGACCAGCTCTATCCTAACTATCAATCACAGGATAATCATAAAAGGAGTCTGCTGCCAAAGCACATCCATTGTTCGGTGACGGGAATATACCTAAGAACAAGGATGTAAATAGCTTTTAGAGGGATATCTAGGACATTACTCCAATCAGAGCTTATATGCAGAAAAGAATTCACAGTCCCTTTGACAGAATGGGGAACTAAACCTTCGCCAGTTTTAATGATGCCTTCGGTATCTCTTCCAAGAGAAATCACGACATGGTAGCTTTGCTCACTAACTCCTACTCTGAAAATTTGCATTAAATGACTATCGAAGAGCTGAGGAGTTCTGCCTCAAGGAAAACCCTCACTTCTAAAAATACGAATGCACAGCAACTTAGAGAAGCAGCAATCAAAAGTAAGTACAAGCCAATTCCCAGGAAATCATTTACCCCTACTCATGGAGGATCTGCCCCTTCAATTACTCCTATAAGAAAAAACATTAGAAGGAGATTTATACTTGAGGGATCAAATAAATTTTTGGAGTCTTCAGCTAAAAAGAATTCAATTACTGCTAGTTGAGTCAAATTTTGGTGAAGTTAAATTGCCTAATCAATGTAGAAATAATTGCCTATTAATATTTATGTATTTTAATTCTAAATGATTAATTCAAATCATTAACAAAATATTTTGTTTAAGGGGTTTTGGGGTTTTGGGGTTTTGGGG